TGCACACCAGAAGAGGGCACCAGACCTATTACAGATGGTTGTGAGCCACCATGTGGTTGCTGGGAATTGAACTCAGGACCTGTAGAAGAGCAGCCAGTGCTCTTAACCACTGAGCCATCTCTCCAGCCCCGAGATGTGTTCCATTCTGAAGGTGAAAAAACTGAATCCTGATGGGGCTACTGCCCAGAGCCACTAGACAGCTTATTCTGGACTACAGCAATAACCTCTGGTAGCCAGCTAATAGTTCTTTACCATCTGTATAGCCCCAATTTTTCCTTTCTTCTTTTTTGAGACAGGGTTTCTCTGTATTGTTTTGGAGGCTGTCCTGGAACTAGCTCTGTAGACCAGGGTGGCCTCTGTTTCCCGAGTGCTGGGATTAAAGGTGTGAGCCACCAACGCCCGGCTAGCCCCAAATTTTAAGAGCTATTTTCACACCTGTCTTCTCTGATTGCAGACACCCACTGAGACCCTCATGTTAACTCTACAATGAGCTCTCAATTGTGTGACAAGTCAATGTCCTACGGCCCTTCTCCACTCATCACCTGGCCTCCTGTTCCAACCTTCAGAAGGGTGTTATTATGTAGCGTGTACTTGTTGCTGTCCCCCACCTTCTGTCTAACCTTAGCTGTCCTGGAACTTGCTCTGCAGTCCCCCTGCCTTTGCCCAGAGTGCTGGGATTAAAGGGCACCAGACTGGCCTAGAAGGGAGGACTTCTGATATTGTACAAGAGGTTCCCTTTGCCTAAAGAACCCAGAGATCTGGGCTACAGAGCTTTTGTATGTGAACATGTGCTTAATTGTTTATGTGCAGAGGCCACAAGTTGATGTCTACCAGCTTCTTTGATCACAATCTTCTAAAACTTTTTTTGAAACTAAAATATACCATTTCTTCCTCCCTATACAGTTTGTACAGTACCCATACACACATATTTTAGGGTTGACCACAGAGCTCCTGTACTTAAAGGTTATTTATTATGAACAAAACATCCTGCCTCCATGTCTGTCTGCAAGCCAGAAGAGGATACCACATGGCTGCTGGAAATTGAACTCAGGCCCTCTGGAAGAGCAGTCAGTGCTCTTAACCTCTGAGCCATCTCTCCAGCCCCATGGAGCCTACATTTTAAGACAGGTGCTCTCACTGAATCTGGGAGATTGTTAATGTATTGGGAAAGCAAGATTCCCTCTACTGACCCAGGGCTAGGATTAGAGCGGTGCCCTGCTATGCCTTGCTTATGTGATCCAAACTCAGATGTTAAGCTTGCACAGCCAACACTTTCCAGACTGGAGTCATTTTGCCATCCCCTAGAGGGCTTTGGACAAACATAAGAATAGCAGAAACAGGAGTTTTTTTTATCACATTCCTGTGTGATGGGTAAGTGAACAATACCCTAATACTTTTCATATTTTTCATAGCTTCATACTTTTAACCTAGGTTGGCCCAGACAGTTTTAGAATACAGGGATTCGTCCTGCTTTAGCCCAAGTGCTGAGATTACCTTACAGAAACTTCCAAACACATAAGCAGATAGTATTGATGACAAATTGCTGGGTAAGAAGGCAGGATGGAGAGATGGTTCAGTGGTGAAGAGCACTGGATGCTTTGCTTCTGTATCAGAAGACCTGCATTCAATTCTCAGCACCCACATGGCAGCTCACAAATGTAACTCCAGTTCCAGGGGGTCTGATACTTTCACACTAATGCACAGAATTTATGAAGTCGAGACTGGAATAAACCAGGCAGTGGTGGCACACGCCTTTAGTCCCAGCACTCAGCAGGCAGAGGCAGGTGGATCTCTGAATTCCAGGCCAGCCTGGTCTGCAAGAGCTAGTTCCGGGACAACCTCCAAAGCCAGAGAAACCCTGTCTCGAAAAACCAAATGAGTGGAATAGAAGTGACACTAATGTTATGGGGTAACTTAAGGCCCACTTCACTAGTGGAAATGTAGGCTTAGGCCTGTAAATATGGCCATGAACCTTTTGTGCAGAACTTCCAGATCTCAGCAACTAACATACTATTTTGCCCTCTAAATTAGCTGAGACTTGACAGCTTCTGGGGGTGGGGGGACAAGTTATTTTCTGTGTGGTTGCTGGTCTATAGACCATGAGTACAGCAGTACACACCGTCAATCTAGAAACAAAGGCAGGGCCATCTCCATATTCAAGGCCAGCCTGTTCTACAGTTGCCGGACACATAAAAGGTCTGGAGAGTTGGCTCAGTGGCTAAGAGCACTGACTGTTCTTTCAGAGGTCCCGAGTCCAATTCCCGGGAACCACATGGTGGCTCACAACCACCTTGAATGAGATCTGGTGCCTTCTGCTGGCATGCAGGTATAAGACTGTATACACAATAAATAAAAATATTAAAAAAGTTTTTAAAAAGGTAGTATAGAGAAACTCTGTCAAGAAAAAGCAAAAACAAATACACTATTATTTCTTGTAGGAAAAATTCTCAGGCTTGCGGTACATCCTTTTTTTTTTTTGTTTTGAATCCAACCCTGTGTTGAAGAACCAAAACCAAAACACAAACTCAGTGATTTTCCATTTACAGTACAAGATCAGTAAAATGATGGGCTTCATGCATACCAAGGTCTTGTCTTGGATCCAATCTCCAACAAAACCATCCCCCAAATAAAAAACACCAGCATATCAAGAACAATTTATTCGGAATGTCACGATTAACACAGTAAATTACAAGTCCCACCCTTCTCATCCACAGGATCTAAAGCAGTTCCTCAAAACCAGCATTAAGAGCCAACCTGGACTATAGAGCTAGCCAGGACAGCTGGGGCTGTTACAGAGAAACCCCGTCTCACACTAATAAAAATCTTAAATGTCATAATCTTGCTAATTGGTTAATGGTATAAACCCCCTGTCAGGTCTTACCACTTGGAAGTAGTGTATTTTAGAATCTTGGTGAACCATGAAAATACGGGATAGCCTCAGCTGAGTTAGGAGAGATAGAGGATTGCAGCTGAGAAGGGAGGCTTCATTTTGATAAACAGGGAAAGTCACTTTAGTTAAGACATGTTTTCATGTGCCGTAAGTAATCACAGAACTTACTTTCATTGAATACCTTTGGTAAAATAGGATAGTACACATTCTATATGCTTTCAATGCAAAATGTGGTCAAGGGGTAACATTATTTAGGGACTTGGTCCATTTTAGACATTTAAAGCCCAACCTATCGTCAGGTGGTGGTGGTGACGCACACCTTTAATCCCAACACTTGGGAGGCAGAGACAGGCCAGGCAGATCTCTGTGAGTTCGAGGCCAGTCTGTCCTATAGAGTGCCAGGAGAGGCTCCAAAGCTACAGAGAAGCCATTTTGGGGAAAAAACCAAAACAAAGAAAAAACAAACCCACTTGCTGAGATAAGTAGTTTGTATTTTAAATGCTAAAACTGAGGAAGTTGGGCCTACAAATACTTTTACAAATACAGTTCAGCTGGTAGAATGCTGCTAGCCTAGCAAATATCAAACCATGGGTTCAGTTCCCAGAATGGTATTATATTCTAGCCCCAAGGTGCTTTTGACTGTGGCATTTGTAATTTTGGCTCTAGGTCCAATCCCTTACACTGGGGGCTTGAGGAGCTTTGAACCTCAAATCTGAATTGTTTCACAACAATTAGCATTGAGACACAGACTTTCCACAGCTAAATCAATACAGCTCCTGTGATCTGCAAAGGGAGCGGCTGCTGTAGAAATACACATGCACGCAGGCACAAACACATAAGAGGAAAAAACCCATTCAGCTATAGTCATTTTAGAGTTGATTGTGAAATGCTACCTCAGGTGACACTGAGTCTATTTCCTTCCCACCCCCACCTTCAAGGCAGTAAGTGGTTCTGCCAGCTCCCACCACCTTACTACCCCAAAGGCACAGCATAGAATGCTTCCTCAGACAAGTACCCACCTGGTGGGGTTAGCCACAATGCCCCAAAATCTGGGCCTGGCTCAGTGGGTGAGGCAGAATTCTGGGAAGTTCCTGAGTCTTCATCCACCTGCCAAAGCAAATTCATGACCATTTGGGTGGGAGAAAGAAGGATCCTTGGGGCCTGTCCCTGTTAGCCTTCATGCCCAAAGGATGAGTAAATATTGTAGTCTGACACCTGGTGATATCTGGAACTAATGGAGGACTAACAGTCATGGGAACCAAAGACAGTCCCATTGTAGAACCTCCACTAAAGATTAGAGGCAGCTAAAGATAGACACCACCCCGAATTACAAAGAGACATGACTGACTTCTCATTCAAGACAACCTCTGGGACTGTATTCAGTGGCTTTACATACTTAGCCATTCGACTTTCCTCCACAGATGTGAACAGGGAGTAGTAGGGCCCACATGTGAACTCTGGACTTTTAGAATCCCTGCTGTCTAGCCAGGTTTCCCTTATGCCTGACATAAAGTTGTTTGGTAGATTTCTACCCCCACAATCCCCATCAGGGGCTGGAGAGATGGCTCAGCAGTTAAGAGCACTGGCTGCTCTTCCAGAGGACCGGGGTTCAAATCCCAGCACCCACATGGGGACTCACAACCGTCTGTAATGAGATCTGATGCTGTTGTCTGACCGGCAGGCATGCATGCAGACAGAACTCTGTATACATAATAAATAAATCTAAAAAAAAACAACCCCCATCATTTAAGAAACGGAAAATACACTAACTATTCTGTGTATCCCTTGTCATGAGATTAAGGTGCTTAGGCTTAGGACCACCCTGTACGTAGGGTACCCACCTTGTGCTCAGAAAAGCAGTTGTGAAAAGGACTAAGAAACTGCTTTACTTCAGAAAACCCAATTCTAGCCATAAGTCTGTATCCAAACTCCATCTCACCTTGGTACACCCAGAAAGCAATCTAAACCTTACTCATTTTAACTTCAAGGCTCAACCCTTCTGGCAGCTGCTACCCATCCCACTACATTTCTAAGCTTCCATCCTCCTAACTTGCCTCTAGTTCTAAATTGTAAACTGTGTTGAATAAGGAAAAAGCATTATCAGTATTGATTTGTCTTCAGGTTTCATCTTTTAATTAGCTCCATTAAGGACATCCTAAACACACCAGACACAACAGAATATCTTTTCTTCCAGTATTAAAAAAATGACATTTACAATCATTTTAAAGAAGCTCTTCTATATAATCAGGACAGTGATCTTGAATAAAAACCATCTCTAGGTAATCATGATCTTGATTCAGATTGCTTATACATTCAGAAATCACTTTCTGGTCATGATAAACATTGTATTCAACTTTTAAAATGTCCTTAAATACACATTCTTTTAAAAAACATTAGCCTGGCCACAGTTTTTTGGGCCAAAACAGTCCTAAAAAAAAATTGGTAAAAAGAAAAAATATTGGTACCATAACCAATGTCTTAAAATTTGTCTTTAAAGGGAAAAAATGTTTAAAGAACACATGGAGCTTTCTAAAAGCTAACAAACTACCTTGGGAGCTCAATTCAAAAATAGAACTCGATGTACTAAAACAGATGTTCCGGCACAGCTCCAAAAATCTTTATAAATACAGCAATTTGGAAGGACGATCCTGGATCAGAAGTGTTATTCCTTGTGTATCTGAGAATAGTAAGAAGGGGCAGAATTTTGATGTCAGGAAGAAACAGACTGGTAATATACATGAACACCTCCCAGAGCTGACAAAGATGCTGCACACCACCTCTTTCTATCTACCATGCCCCATAGAACAGAAGATTACTTTAGGACACCCGGACACCACAACTCCCAACCCCACCCCACAACTAGCTTTGGCATGCACCTAATAGCAAGAGCAGCGAAATGGTATTGACTGGCTGGGTAAGATACCAAGAGATAGAGGGAAGGAAATGTGGCCAGAAGAAAAGCAAAAGGGCCAGGACAGGAGGGTTTGAGGAAACAGTTGACTAAATGGCAATATTTAGGTCTCACCTACATTATGTGTGCATGCCCCTTCTCAGTTGTCATAATTGTCTCTGTAATTTCCTCCTGAGTAGCGGTCATAACCACCCTGGCTTCTGGGAAAAAGCGGAATTGTTTTACAGGAATGTATTCTACACGGCAGGCAGTAACATTAAAAACTATACATGACCATTTCATAATAGTGCATTCACAATAGAAACTTCAGTTACTTTTTGTGGTGATGAATATTAAACCCAGTGCCTGTCACATGTTGAGCAAAATATCTTTGATATATCCGAGCCACACAATGCAAAACTGAGTATTAGGCTACTGAATTATCAAGAACCCAAGTACCAGAGGTATCCCAGTCTCTCAGTACTCACCTGCCACTATAGTCTCTAGACCGTCCATATCCATACCCATATCCTCCTGGTCGACTGTCATATCTTCCACTTCCATAGCCCTGGTCTCCACCACCTACAGAGAAATATTTAAAATAGCAGTTCTTCAGACAGTCATAACAAGTAACTTTCTACCTCATCTCATGATCAAATCAGTGCACTTACCTCTGGAGTAGCTGCGGCCACGCCCATGGGCCCCAAAGGCTCCCCCTCTGGATCCCCGGGCAGACTTGCCTGCATGGTCCACACGGATCTGGCGCCCATCCAGGGACTAGGTGTGGGAAGGAGACAGACACAAGGAAGCGTTGTCAGTCAGTCAGAGTAGTGACTGAAGAAGAATAGGCACAGGCAGACAGATGGACAAGAGCCCAGAAATTCCTGCTGGGCACCAAATTCTGGGTGCCATGTTCCAGAGCAAGCTCCTCTGACCACAATGGTTTCACCAGGAGCTACAGATTCCCACAAACGACCTGAATCCACCGTGCTCCCCTGCTACTACTTACATCTTGACTGAATTCAGGCTGAGTTCTCCTCCCCACTCCTCTAAGCTGCCCGACTATTAGGGCTAGACACCTCTCTCGGTTTGAGGCTTCAGAGTCCGTCCCAGAAGACTCACGAGGTCCTCTCCGGGCCAGGCCCACAGGTCTGCAGACTCTACTACCTAAGCCCAGAGCAGGTCAACCATCCACAGGTGGCTTCTCGGCCTCATGCAGGACCAGTCGTCGCCTCCCAGGCAGCCCGGCTCTGTCTGCCGCTGCCCTCCACCCCCTAGAACAGAAGGCAGTCATGCTCCTGTGAGTGGACACCGTGGGGCTTCGTGGCCACGCTGCCCCTGGCAGACATAGAGGGAGAACAAAGAACGAAGAAAGTGGCGGACAGGGAGAAGGTTCCTCTGCAGGCAGGAGGCCTCACCTCTCCATTCATGGCTCTCATGGCATCTGAGGCATGCTCTGGGTTGGTAAAGGTGATGAAGCCAAAACCCCGGGATCTTTGAGTCTCCCGGTCCTTGACAACAACCACTGGGAGAGACAGACATATCAACGTTAGCACCCTAACATTTAACTGCAAAGGAAAATGGACACACATCCCCGAATTGTGTATCCCAACCGAATTTTCTCAGCCCAACTGTATCTTAGAAACACGGGAAGTTAAGGAGAATTTCAGGTTGTAAGCCCCAGACTAAACTAGCTCTTGTCTACCAACCGTCAACCCGTGGGCTGGTCCATGGCTCACCCTCAGAGATAGGCCCAAAGCTGCTGAAGTGGTCTTCGAGTGCCTGCTCATCGGTGTTGAAGTTGAGGCCTCCCACGAAGAGCTTCCCTTCTTCAGAAGACATGGCACAAGGCAAATCCTAGAGGGCAAGTGTGTGGAAATTGGGGAAAATAGTGACTGCGGACGTGGTGACAAGTCTAAACACCTGAAGACTGGGAATTCCAGGCAACACAAAAAGTTGCTTAAGGGAAAGAAATCAAATGGCAAGAGACTCGGGAGCGGAAAAGGCGGGAACCAGCAAGCCAGAGCGAGCCTGTCCGCCATTTGACGACCGCTACCGCGCATGCCCACAACATCCCACGCCACCACACCCGTCATTTTGTACGGTCGCGCAGGCCTACACCAGCAGCACTTCATTTCCTCTTTCCCCGCAGAACAAGATGGCGGCGGTCACGTGGGAAGAACCCGCCGGGGTAGGCTGTCCCGTGGTCATTCCCGCCACGGCCCCAGCCCGTCCCTTCCGGCATTCCGCCCGTTCGGATGTAGCACGCCGGCCTCCCAGTTGGGAGATTTTTCCTTCGAGCCTGGGACTCGCCCTCCTCGGAGCTCAAGCCGACGTGTCAGCGGCCGCTGCTCTTCCTACTCTCGTGTCCCGTCTGTGGCGGGCAAGGAAGTGAGGCGAGGGACGACCACCGCGCAAGCCGAACGCCGCTTACCTGCACAAACCCGCTTCAGAGTCAAAAGGCTCGACACGCCGCGAGCTCTGAGGAACCGGGAGAACAGAGAGGCTGCCGCGCGGGAAGACGCCTGATAAAGCGTGCGTAACGGATACGTCAGCGAACGTACCCCAGCGCGCCCCGGCGTGCGTGCTCATTGGTTAAGGTCAGCGGGGAGGTTGGGTAAGGACAGAGGAAGGCGGAGGAAGCAATTCGCCTTGCCGCTTCCGGGAATAGACAGGAACTCTGAGTTCAGTGCATCCGAATATAAGCATCTCTGTACTAGCATAGAGATTGGCCCCCCTCCCTTTTCCATCTAAAAACGGTTTGATTCATATAGCCTTTTCCTCCCTGACGTCATTTTCACCGCATTTGACGTCACTTCTCCCCTTCGATAGTATGTCCCTAATTGACAGTAGATCACTGCCAAACAAACTACCACCCTCAGCAATCAATCTTATTTATTTATAATCCTTTAACCTCATATCCCTTAAGGCCCCAATGTTTTATCCCTCCATGTCTCTAAAGTCATCACTTTCAGGGTTCTTTTGTTTTTCGAGACAGGATTTCTCTGTGTAGCTTTGGAGGCTGTCCTGGAACTCGCTCTGTAGACCAGGCTGGCCTCGAACTCACAGAGATCCGCCTGCCTCTGCCTCCTGAGTACTGGGATTAAAGACGTGCGTCACCAACACCTGGCGTCACTTTCAGAGTTCTTGATGTTAGACCCTACATTTTTGAGTGCTTAACCCCTACCCCTTATTCATCTCTGCGCAGTACCTGGTCTTGTTATGGGACCCTTTCCCTTGGTGTCATCCTTCTCAACTCACATCCTTATCTGACAGTCTCTTTAAGCCTGATATGCTTTCAACAAAACAGGTATCCTATGGTGGACAAAGGGTGCAAATCCAACCCACAAAGTGAATATTGCTCTCTAATAAGGATAATAGCTCTTGATCCAAAGGACTGACTTTTGTAATACATAGTGGAAATCCAAAGCAAGTAGTGTCTGAATCCACTGCCTGACAATTTGATCTTTCCCAGCCTTCTGTGACTAATAATAACTTGTTTGCCTTTGGGGACTCCACATTTTTTCACTCAGAGAATGAAATTGTTCAACTTTGTAAAGGCCTGTCCCCCACTCCACCACCAACCCCAACACAAATAGATTTGTTAATCTTCAGATGCTGTTCATCTATGGTTCCTGTTAGGCTTATTCCCATATTTCTCAGTGATTCTTCAGGGATTTAATGTCATTAAATTTGTAAGTAGTGGGGCTGGAGAGATGGCTCAGAGGTTAACAGCAATGGCTGCTCTTCCAGAAGTCCTGAGTTCAATTCCCAGCAACCACATGGTTGCTCATAACCATCTGTAATGAGATATGGTACCTCTTCTGGCCTGCAGGCATACATGCAGATAGAACATTATATAAGTAATAAATAAATCAATCTTTAAAAAATTTAAGTAGTATCTTTAGTTAAATACATTTATTTTTCATTTAATCATTTCTCACCCTATGGTCTACACCTCACTGTGCTCAGGATAGCCTGAAACTCATGCACCTCTTGTTTGAGCCTCTCCAGTGCTGGAATCACAACCAACTTTTTGTATTTTTAAAGAAACCCCCCCAGTCCCAGAGACACTCTTCTGCAACTTATTCTGTTAGCTCTATAGTTTTGCTTTTAGTTTAAGGTCCTTAACCCCTGTATGGGGTTTAGCTCAGTTGATAGAGTGCTTTCCTAGTATTTGCAAGTCCCTTGACTTATATATCAGCAGAGGGGAGAGCTGTGTTTGGTTTTACTGTACCATTGAGCCAGATCATCTACCAGGAAGCTGAAGCAGGATTGTGATGTTGAGGTTTTAATAGGTTTCAGGCTAACTTTAGCTACATGGTGAGACCCTGTATTGAAACAAGCAAACAGAAATCAGGTGTTTCTTGGAATTGTATTTTATGTAAAGATTTGGGGAATAACATGATATTACCTGTGGTATTAAGGTTGATGCTCCTATTAAGGTTTGGCACCTTAGTTGGGTGTGATAACTTGAACCAGTAATCATAGCACTTGGGGAGGTTGAGGCAGTAGGATCTTTCATTTAAGGTCAGCCTGAGCTACCTGATCAGTCACACACACCCCTCCAAGAAAAATGCCAAACAAAAGAATTGGGGCCTTGTTCCCTTGCCCTTCACTATGGACTGGACTTAGTGGATCAACTGGAACGTATAAAATAAGTGAAGCAGAAGTGATAGTATATCATTTCAAGGCTGAGTCATTAAAAATGCACTTCGGTTTTCTGTTCTCTCATGCAGATTGAGCATTCTGTGAAATATTTGCTGGTTTGTAGAGAGTAGTCCTATAGAGGGGGCTAAAGTGGCATGGAATCGAGGTCCCCTACCAACAGCTATGGGAGCAAGCTTTCTTAGACCTAAATCCATAGGGCTGGAGAGATGGCTCAGTGGTTAAGAGTACTGTCTGCTCTTCCAGAGGACCTGGGTTCAATTCTTGGCACCTACATGGTCGCTCACAACTATCTGTTACTCTAGAATCTGACACCGTCACACAGACATGCATGTAGGCAAAATACCAATGTACCTAAAATAAGAATAAATACATTTTAGGTACCAATGTATCTAGAATAAGGGTAAATAAATTATAAAAAAGAAGTAGATCCCCACCTCCAGATAGTTGTTATCTAGGCTGTCATCCTGACTAGCAGTAACCCTATGAACACTACGAATCAGACCCACCTCACTAAGCCACTCCCAGAATCCTGACCTCCAAAACCATGGGCGATGTTCCGTTGTTTTGTCTTGAGACAAGTTCTCACTATGCAGTGTAAGTTGTGAATATTGGAACCTAGTCCCTTTGCCCGTTGAGCTTCACAAAGACTAGAACTACATTCATGCATTATGCTTGATACAGTCAGTAAGCTTGGTATCAATCGATAACTAACACATCATTTGAATTTTCCCAGGAAAGTGCATGAAATGTCTTTCTTTTGTTTAAACACAGAATCTGTTTATATATTCCAGGTTGGCCTGGAACTCACTACATAGCCCAGGATACATTCACTGTCTCTATCCTCCTGCCTAATACATGTGCATGACCAACTTTATATTTAAAAATGGGATCTTGCGGGGGCTGGAGAGATGGCTCAGTGGTTAAGAGCACTGACTATACATCCAGAGGTCCTGAGTTCAATTCCCAGCAACCACATGGTGGTTCTCAACCACCTGGAATGAGATCTGGTGCCCTCTGATGGCATGCAAGCACAAAAGTGTATACAAAATAAATAAAGGAATAATATATTAAAAAAAATGGGATCTTGCTAAGTTTCCTAAGAGGGCCTCAAACTCCTGGGCTCAAGTCATCCTCCTGCTTCAGCCTCTGGGGTGACACTAGAAATCACTGTGGGTTTTATTTTATTTTATTTTTTAAAAGATCTATTTATTTATTACATATACAGTGTTCTGCCTACATGCCAGAAGAGGGCACCAGGTTGAATTGTAGATGGTTGTGAGCCACCATGTGGTTGCTGAAGAGCAGTCAGTGCTCTTAACCTCTGAGCCATCTCTTCAGCCCCTATTTTATTTTATTTTCGAGGCAGGGTCTTACTATGTAACCCTGGCTGACCAGAAATTTGCTACCAGGCTGACCTAAAACTTAGAGAGATCTGCCTGCCTTTACCTCCTAAGTGCTGAAATTAAAGACTTGTACTACCATACCCAGCTTTGGTTTTTTTCTTTTCTTTGAAACAGGGTCTCATGTAATCCAAGGCAGCCTCAAAGTCATGGTGATCCCCTACCTTGCAAGTGCTAGAATTACAGGCCTAAGCCACCAAGCTTCACCTGACTTTTTGAGTTGAATGTTTAAATTGTCTATTTCTCTTTTCATCCCTCATGTACTGCTATGTAATGGTGACTGGCCTGTAACTCACTAACTCAAGTTGTCCTTTGAGTCACAACAATCTTCCTGCCTCAGCTTCATGAGATCAGGGACTACAGGTATGAGCTGTCATATCTGACTCCTTTCTTTAAAAAAAATAAAATTAAATTAAAAATGTATTCATTTGTTTTTATTTTACCTGTATGGGTGTTGTGCTTGTATGTATATCTATGTATCTTATGCATCTGGTGTCTGCAGAGGAAGAGGAGGGCACTGGAGTTACAGAAGCCTGTGAGCCACCATGTGGGTGCTAGGAATTGAACTTTGGAAGAGCAGCTGGTGCTCTTAACCAATGAACAATTTCTCTAGCCCCCTCCTTTCTTTCTTTTTTTTTGGAGGGGGTTTGAGACAGGGTTTCTCTGTGGCTTTAGAGGCTGTCCTGGAACTAGCTCTTGTAGACCAGGCTGGTCTGGAACTCACCAAGACCCACCTACCTCTGCCTACCGATTGCTGGGATTAAAGGCATGCACCACCACTGACCAGCTCTTTCTTTTTTTTTAATGAGATTTATTTTTATGGTTTTTAATGATGTGTTTGTGTGTGTGTGTGTGTGTGTGTGTGTGTGTGGGTGCACATGCGTGGGCTGTCTTCAAGGGACAGAGACATCAGAGACCTTGAAGCTGGAGTTACAAACATGGGTCCTGGGAACTAAACTGAGGTCTTACTTAGATACTGCCAAGTAATGGTGGCACACACCTTTAATCCCAGCACTTGGGAGGCAGAATAAAGCAGATCTCTGTGAGTTCCAGGCCAGCCTAGTCTACAGAGCCAGTTCCAAGACAAGCTCCAAAGCTACAGAGAAACCCTGTCTCAAAAAAACCAATGGGAAAGAAAAAACTTAGATATTAAAACAAGCTCCAAAACCCAACTTAGATACTAAGTTTTTAGTTAGAGCACAAAGAAGGCCTCAGTCAACCCAAAAGCATCAATATTAAAGGGTGCATGTGTAGCTAAGTGTTACAGTATTTGCCTAGAATGTACAAGGCCCTGGTTAGAGCCCTGTAGAGCACTACAAAAGAAGGTGTGTGTATTCTCTGACCATGTGTCATAAAACTAGCAATAACAGGAAGGTACAAAAAAACTTTATACACATTCATCAAGAAAGAAAAGAAAGAGGAGCCAGAGATCTGGCTCAGAGGTTACGTGGTAGTATCTAAGTAGGAGGTTATATAAATATTGTGTTGGGTTTCCTCCCTCCCTCCCTCCCTCCCTCCC